AACAAACGGAGACGTAACACTAGATAAACAGGACTTCCTGTAATTCAAGAAAATGAATAATCATATTGTTCAAAATCCAATAAGAAGAAAACTGTGCATCCTATTATTTAATAACAGCAAATACTAGACAGTGAATAATTCAGTAACTTAAAAGACTAAACAGTCTATTATTCAGAAGCAGAAAATACTTGACAACAGATAGTTCATTGACATAAAAAGCTCCTCAGCTTGTTGTTCAATAACAGAAAATACCGAAAAGTCCATATTTATGTAACATGAAAGACAGGACAGTCTATTGTTCAATATCAGAAAACGCTGTACAGTTTATAGTTAAGTAATTTGAAAGACGGGAAAATCTATTGTTCAGTAAGAGAAATTATTGGGCAGTGGTTAGCCAGTGGCATTAAAGACTGGACAGTCCGTGATGTTAGAGACATACAATATTGTACAGTTATAACTTTAGAAATATGATTGTTGGAGCAGTCCGCAATTACATCAAATTAAGAAGGTAGGTTTGTCGGCATTCATTAAGTTACCTCCTACTAATATAAAGAAAATCAGATTATGAAATAAATGCTAGGTAATATTTTAGTAATCTTGTTATTTAATCTGATTGTATCCATCTCTGTTGTTTTCTAGTTGTGTTCATCACTCCTCTTTTATCATATTGTTACGACAGCGGAAGTCACGTGATTCTAGTGGCACGTCATGATATTCTAGAAGGATCGGGGAACATCACGAATAATCCAGTATTTACTAGGCGCCCTCCATTTTTGTATATAAGTGCGCCAGATAAAGCGAAATTAATGGGGAATATAATTGCAGACAGACAATTGAGTCAAGTAGTGACCGTAAGTAAAAGGCGTGAATCGTTTTGAATTATAGCGTGAGTTTAACTTAAAGTGACTGTGAAATTAAATGTATTGCAAAGTTGAATTGAAATATGGAATCCAAAATCAGTCTGAAGTATACAGGGCTAGGTTTAGGACGAGAGTCCGTGCTAAAGGAGAGAGCTAGCACAGGATTTGGAAAGTATGGCACACAAGGTCTACCCAACTGCGCCACCCGATGTCCTCAAGTAGTTGCTGAGAGATCATTTTGTATACGCCTTGGACAGTCCAAAACTGAAGATACAAGTAAAGCAAGCACACCCCTCTACTATGCAAGATGCAATGGCCAGAGCTCTTGAATTTGAATCCTACATTAAGTCCAGCACAGAGGTACCAAGGTTGGTACAGTCATCAGGATTCAAGGCCAGACAGAAAGTATACTTGGCTGACATTGAAGACCAATGCATATTAGGACTGGAATATTTACTACCGAGGAAGTGTGTAGTTAACTTCGATAAAATGATGATTGGAAACAACAAAGGCCAAATTCCAGTAAGTGTTTCTACATCTGTTGATTTGCATGTCACAGCACTTAAGTCAACTATAATACCCCTATGTCAGAGAAGATAATTTGGGGTAGGATAAAAGAACATCCCCAAGGAAGCCCAATGCTTGTAGCGGCAGTGGAAGACCCATCCAGGCCAGTGTATTTAAAGATTGTAAGGTCACTTGTGGCAGGTCATCAAGTAGTACCTATAACAGTGGCCAATTTCTCTAAATGTGAGCAGACACTTAAGGAAGGGGCATTGTTGGGTGTGTGCCAGGAGGTAGAGCCAGTCAATGTTAAAGCAAGAAATACAACCATAAATAAACGACATACACTTCCAGAACATTTAACTGACCTCTATAAGAAGAGCACAGTCCATTTGTCATCATCACAGGCTCTTCAGGTTAGGAAACTTTTGTTGAATTATGCAGACGTCTTTTCGAAAGGAAATCATGACTTCTGCTGCACAGACCATGTAGAGCACAGAATAAACACAGGCAATCACCGTCCAATAAAGATCTCTCCGTGAAGAATAGCTCCAGCAAAGCGACAAGAGATGGAGAAGGTCATGGATGGCCTAATTAAGGAAGAGATAGTCGAGAAATCAGATAGTCTCTGGTCAGTTCCCGTCGTGTTAGTCCAGAAGAAGGATGGGATCCAACGTTGCTGTGTGGATTTCAGAGCTCTTAACAGTATAACCCAAAAGGACTCATACCCACTGCCAAGAATTGATG